CGTCTATTGGGACTCCTACCACCGCTGGTATCACCAGCAGTATTGATTACTTGGTGCGGGATGAGGACCTGGCGTGGTCCGCGCTGATGGGCGGCTGGCGAACAGCGACGGAGCGAGTGATGGTGACAGCCGGGGGTTGGCAGCAGCCGTGCTGGACGCAGCGGCACTCCTGCCCGAGATTGCAGCACTGCGTGTGGACGCCGCTGCTGCAGCCGCCGACAGGCTGCCTCTCCTCCTCCTTGACAGCGGCGTTGGTGCCGCTGGCATGGCGGGCCCTGCTACAACACTGCCGCCGCTGCTACAGCCACTGCTGCTGTTGTGAAAGCAGCGCTGGTCAATGGAAAGTCAAGCAAGTCAACCACTGTGGCGCCCAACTCTGTCATCGAGCAGTCGTCCCTCACTAAACTTGAAGCTGCTTCTGCTGGTGACAGCGATGCTGCAGGACGCACCGGTGGGCTGGATGGTAACGACCACAGCAGCAACATCAGCGGCAGCAGCATGCGTCGCGGTCCTGCTTCATCCAGCTCGGCTTCTTCTGCCCCTCTCTCTGCTGTTGCGGCTGATGGCAGCGCTGCTACTGCTGCACCTGCTGCTGCGGCAACGGCAGCTGTGCAGATGAAGCAGCAGCAGCAGGGCGTGGGGGGCGAGCAGCAAGGGGTGGGCATCATTCCATTCCTCAAGGGAAAGAACGTCCTCATCACCGGAGCCACTGGCTTCCTTGCTAAAGGTGCTGCCGCCTCCTACTCTCAATCCAAAAACCTATACACACACACATGCATACATGCACATACACACACTCGTGCTAGATCATCTCCCCCTCCCGCCTTCTCCACTCACCTCCCACCCCCCCACACCCCCTCCTTCCTCCCCTCCCCTCCCCTCCCCTCCCGTCTCTCAGCCCTGGTGGAGAAGATACTGCGAGAGCAGCCAGACGTGGGGCAGCTGTACCTGCTCATCCAGCCGCGGGGGGACACCACCGCGCACCAGCGCCTCGCCTCCCAGGTGCGGCAACAGGCCCTGCACGCTGCTCCTCCCCACCCCTGCACACGCCTCGCAGTTCTAGATGCTCCACTGCACGCCTCCTCACCTGTGTCTAGACGCTCGTTTCTGCCTACCCTTGTTGTTAGTGCCGCAACTGACCCGTGTGGCGTGTGTACCCTTGTGGTGGTGTGCAGGTGATTCCATCGGCCATTTTTGGGCATCTGAAGCAGCGGTACGGCGAGGGCTACGAGGCGTTCATGAGCAGCAAGCTGACGGCGGTGGACGGCAACATAGGCGAGGAGAACCTGGGTCTCAGCGTGGTCACCAGTGCTGCTCTGGCGGATAAAGTGGATCTCATCATCACTCCGCTGCCACCACTGACTTTGACGCCCGGTATGAGCGAGACCCCACGCACATTTAACCTCAAATTCAGAGTTCCATTGGATTCTTAGGTATTTCTATTATTCTTATGATCTTAGCACACGAGTGTTTGTGTGTGCGGTGCTGGCCGTGCCACGTGTGGCAGGTACGACGTGGCACTGAACATCAACACGCTGGGCCCCCGGCGACTGTTGGCCTTCGCCAAGCAGTGCCGCCACCTGCAGCTGCTGCTGCACGTGTCCACTGGTGAGCCTCCGCAACACGCAAGGCATGGGTTATTGTACACATGCTTTCCCTTCTGCTGGCCTATCCACCTGCTACTCTTGGCTGCACCCCTCCTACTCTTCCTCCTCCAACCACCCCTGCTCCTCCTCTCCCTGCATCCCTCACGTCTTCTATCCATCACCCTCCCCTGCCATGACAGCGTACGTGAACGGCAAGCGCAAGGGGCAGGCCATGGAGCGCCCCTTCGCACCCGGGGACACCATCGCAGCGGAGATGCTCGCACAGGCCGCACACTCCCCTGCTGCCTCTGCTGCGGCTGCTGCAGCAGCAGGCATTCCCGCGCTAGACGTGGACGGGGAGGTGGCGTTTGCGCATAAGGAGCGCGCGGAAGTGGAGGCGGCGGCAGTGGCGAGGGGTGCGGGCAAGGACGAGGTGCTGGCTGCTGTGAATGCACACATGTCCGCCCTGGGCCGCGCCAGGTGGGTGCTGATGAGCACTGCAGGCAAGGCCGGCACATGCCAGCGCGGCACAGGACGGGGCAGCACAGGCCGGGCGAGCGTGATTCACGGGGGCGGCTCGTGAATTTCATGCTGGTCTTATTTCGTGGCTCTCGCGCTTATGACTCTTCGTCCTTGCTCTGTGCGCCTGCTCTTTCCCCCATCAGGGCGCAGGTGTTTGGGTGGCAGGACGCGTACGTGCTGTCCAAGGCCATGAGGGGAGATGACACTGGGGGAGCAGCGCGGGGGAGCGCAGGTGGGGGGAGGAGGAGGGGGGTGCAGGGGTGGTGCCCGTGGTGGTGGTGCGGCCGAGCATAGTGGAGAGTGCGTTGTGTGAGCCCATGGCAGGGTGGATGGAGGGCATGCGGTGAGTGCATGCACAGCTGTGTCTTGCGCCAATCCTCCTTTACTAGGCTTTCTGCCTGTTTCCTGTGTTATTTTCTCTTCTGCTTTCCAACCTCTTCACACTTGTTCCATGCGTGCTTGGCGTGCCTGCCCTTCCCACCACATGGCAGCATGGCAGACCCCATCCTCATGGCATATGGCAAGGGTGCCATGGCTGGCTTTCTTGCCGATGGAGTGGCTGACATTGTGAGTACTCTTTTTCTGGCTCGCATCGCTCGCTGGTTCACTCCTCCCTCTCCTCCTCACCACCTCTCATGCATGTGCTTTGCTTCCATGTCTCACAGTTCCTGTCACATCTGAGTATTGCTGCAACCTGCCTGTTGTTCTTCCTCCACACATGCCCTCAGATCCCAGTGGACTTCGTCGTGAATGCCATCTTGGCCGTCGCTGCCGACAATGCCAAGCTGCCCCCACAGGCACCCCACGGCACCACCATCAGCGCCACCAGCCACCACCTCTGCGTCTGCCTCTGGGTACTGCCTGCCTCGTGTGTACCACGTGACAACCTCAGCGGCTAACCCTCTGCATGTGAAGACCATTGCCGATGCTGCCACTGACCATTTTGCTGCCAAGCCCATGAAGCAGAAGGATGGCTCGCCCATTTCTGTCGCTCCGGCTAGGGTCTTCAAATTCCCCATGCTGTTCCTCCTGGACCTCTGGATCCGATACCAGCTCCCCATGCTGGTAATGGCTCACTCTCTTTTCCGGCTTCTCCCCCCCTCGCTGTTCCTCTTGATTTGCCTCCCCATTTCCTCTCATAACAATCTTTGCACCCTGTTTTGTTTGTAACAATACATTTTTCATTTTCTCTTTTGTTCTTTTTCTTCTTTTACCGGTGCCTTTGTGGCATGTGCAGCTGATGAAGCTCTTCCCTAAAAAGGGAGCATCAACCGCACGTCGGACTATGATTATGATGAAGACGATTGAGTCACTCATGCACTTTGCCAAGATATACTCACCATACACCTTTTACGAGGCACAGTGAGTCTTTGTTTCCATCGCATTCATGCACAAATCATACCAGCAGAGGATGTAACGTGGCTCCTTGCACGTGCAGGTTTGACTCCAGCAACACTGAAGATCTCTTTGCTAGGATGTCATTGGACGAGCAGCAAAAGTTCAACTTCAATGTGCGCAATATCAACTGGCACAACTACATGTGCAACGTTCACATCCCAGGACTACGCAAGTTTGTTCTGAAGGGGAGAGGCTCCAAGGATTTGTAGATGGTTAACCCAAAGCCATTATTACCTATGTATCATCTGGCTGTCCACATCAAGTGGTGAAATAGGTGGCAATGTACTTACTGTCATAATTTAGTTCCTTGCATAATTTGTTTCCACAACCTGTGTCAACCCACACATTTATCCATGTTGAAAACGATACGAACATGTAGCCTCGTTTCCATAAACCGCTCCGCTGCCTACGATGTCGGGCCAATCTTGCCCGTGCCCTCTTCGTCCACTGGAGCATTGCCTTGTCATCCATCCAGAGTTGATGGGTTTGCTGAGGGGCTGACCGTGAAACCCAATTGCCCGTCCAACCCGATGTTTTCGCCCGTCATTTACTGACATCTTGACGGCGAACGAGGAGGTTTCCGCTACAACGATTGGCGGACGGCCAAAGTGCACTTTTTTCCCCAGCGCATTCGCACCAACCAGAGCAGTTCGCTGCTTCTGTCCGCCACGACAACCGCAAGGATATGTGTGCCAAAGTTTTCCCAGGGAACCATCAGCACCTCACCATCATCCCTAGGTGCGTCCCCTGCCCTCACCGCAAGCTCTCACCCCATCTTTATCCCAAGGTCCTCTGAAGTTCTGGTTACTTCAAGGGACCCTAGCCGAAGCTCGTCCCTCACCCTAGCTGATTCACTTTGAGAGTTCCACCTCACCGTGGTGGGTGGATATCCCCAGCTATTTTCAGAGAGAATCTATTCCCTTTCAGGAGTCGCACGATTTTCGGGAGGACTGGCCCGAACCCGAATCCTCATCCTCGCGAGCACCAGTCCCTTCTTTCACCGCTCCGTGCGTCACGGTCCCGCCGACACAGTAGCCTTGCGAAGGCTCACACTAATCTTATTGCTCGCCGCCTCCTCGTCGGTATTCTCACCGTGTCTGGGAACCTGTGCATACTATTGCGCGAGGAAGGAAGACCCACCTGAAATTCAGCAACCGCCGACGTACACGAGTCCCGAAGGAATTAGGCATTCCTTCCAGCGTATGCGTGTTACGACGTCCCTATCACGTCGAAATGGGTCTCTCTGCGGCGGAAATGATAGGACTATCCACTCTACTTTAGAGGATTCCTCTATCCAAGCTCTGTTCGTCTGATTCGAGCTTTCAGGAGATTCAAATAATCAGGTATGATGCTTGCCGAGCCTACAAAACACGGAGGGCCTGGATAGCGAGTCTCATTGGCAATGCCGCGTGTCCGTCGTGTGTCCGTCGTGTGTTAGTCGTGTGGCCAGACCTCATTCTAGTGGTTCCACTCTCGCATTTTTTTTTTCGTTCGTAAGGGATACCATACCGTGCTCCCTCCGCTGCCGCATCCGGTCGCCATTCTGAGTGCTCTCTTCCGGTTTTGTTTTATGTTCGGCATTCGTTGGCTCCACGTGCCCTGGCCAGGTCTCAGACCAGTCTCACCGCGTCTCCCCTCGCCTGTTCTGATCACAGGGCTCACAGCAGCAGCTGCGATTCAACAGTGCGCGGGCCGTGCTCCTCACCTCGCCTCCTCTGGCTGCTTCCGTCCTGTCGGTTGAGGAACGCCTACGAAGGAGGGGAGAGGGACTTGACGGTCACCGGAAATGGAAGGAAAAGCACGCTCGCTGTTGAGGGAGAGAAGGGCGCCTGAACTAGACTTTGACAAAAGGTGAGCCTGCGATTTGGTCCTCCTTAGCGTTCCTCCTCATCTGCGAGTCCAATCGTGGTTGTTAGAGTGTGTTCCCGCATGCCTGCACACGTCCTCGTGTGTGCGTGCTTTCTTCAAACTGACTCATGCCCTGTCATGCATCCGCAGATACGCGCAATCCTGCTCATCGTTCGGTATCAGCCCACCGCCCGACATCCTCAGCGCTCTGGCGTCAGTAAGTCCCACTTACCCCGCCTATTCATCGCCTCATCCTGATTCTCTCCAACTGGCTTCCTTCCTGCCACATTCCCCATTCTTAACCACCCCCCTTCTCAATCGTGGTTCCGTGAACTCCTCCCTGATTCCCGTCTCACCATTCCGCCTACCGTCCAGCCCTCGCACCGCATATCTGAGGACGGGTCGCCGCAGTTAGCGGTAGAGCTGCCTCTCGCGCACCTGTCGGACGCGGTCGCGGTGACGCTGGGCGAGTTCCTGGCGACGGCGTGTCCAGAGCTGCATATCGTGGACGTCAGCAGCGCAGACGCGGTACCCACCGTGAGCGGCCACGGCATTCTCTTCCTGCTGCGCGCCGTGGGACCGCACCTGCAGCACGCCAACCTCTCCAACATCCCGCTCGGCCGCGAGGCCTTCAGGTGCGACGCACCAGCCTTAACCTGCGCGCACGTACGTTTGTCGTTCGCAACTGCAGCACCACGCGTCTCGACGCATTGGAAGCTTTGACCCTCGCAGCGTGTAGCCCTTGAATAGCCACTGCTTCCTTCCGCCGCCCACCCTCCCCACTCGCCCCGCAGAGATCTGTTCCAGCGCGGGCTGAACGCGCGCAGCCTGTGCTTCTCCTTCTGCCGCGTGCGCAAGCTCGACTTCGTGGGCGCGTTCCCGCGCCTGCGCTCCCTCGTGCTGGACCACAACCCCGCCATCACGTGCCTCCCCGACGGCTGCTTCTCCAACGCGCCGTCGCTCACGTCGCTCTCGCTCTGCGCCACGGGCATCTCGAACCTCTGGACCACTGTCGCCGCGCTAGCCAAGCTCCCCCTCTTGACGCAGCTCCGCTTTCAGCGGTGCATGTGCTGCCGCGGCGACACGTCCGCGTGCGCGGAGCTTGCAGCGGGGCTGGCTGGCGATGCCCGCGGACGCGGACGAGGGCGCGCGGAGGGAGGTGGCGAGAGCAAATGCTGGTGATGGTGGTGCTGATGATGCTGGTGCTGGTGTTGGTCAACGGGATGAGGACGTGGTGGAAATACGGGCGTGGTTGGGCGAGGAAGAGGGGAACCTGGAGAACTTGGTGCGGGAGGGTATGGAGATGGATGAGGTCATGCGCGAGTGGGAAGCGCAGGGGCAGGCGGAGGGCGCTCTAGATGCTGCGCTGGACTTGGCTGAGCAAGTAGGCATGGGGTTCGGTGGCCCGGGGGATGAAGAGCTCGGTATGGTTGGCGATGAGGACTTGAGGGGCGCGCAGGGTGAGGAGGAGGAGGAGGAGGAGGAGGAGGAGGGAGGAGGAGGAGGAGGAGGAGGAGGAGGAGGAGGAGGAGGAGGAGGAGGAGGAGGAGGAGGAGGAGGAGGAGGAGATGTTTGACGGGGATGCGAGTGATGAGCGTCCAGAGGAAGAGGAGGAGAGCGACGAGGACGAGGAAGAGAGAGAACGCAGGGATGGTGAGTTTCGCCACGTGGGCATGCCATGGCAGCAGGTTCTGTCTCGTGAAGCGAGGGGACTGAGGCAGGGAGGTGGAGAGCAGCAGGACGCAGCAGAAGCAACAACCGCGGGGAATAATGGCGGTGCAACAGGCGCGGGAGCTGAGGGTCTTGGCCCCAGAGCAGTCCCTCTGGGCCCATCACCGCGCATGCGTCCCGGTCGCCTTCACCAGCATCAACCTCTGTTTCGGCCCATTCCTGCTGTCCGCACTGCTGCTGCTGTGCCAGGTACAGGGGCCGCACAAGGCAACGGGTCTGTTGGCCGAGCAACGGGGGGTGCTAACCAGCAGCGGCACACGGAGCAGGGGAACAGACAGCAGGGACAGCAGCAACTGCCAGCGCGGACCCAGCAGGTCTGGGTGGGGCTGCAGGAGGTATGGCTGGAGGGCTCACGGCACGAGAACTGGACTTGATAAGCTATCTTATGGGGGATGCACCCAGGCGTCTCCGGGGCAGGGAAACTGGTGCTAATGCTACCAACGATCAACGCGCCGATGCTGCTCGTGCTGCTCGTGCTGTTCGTGCTAGCGCTGCCGGTGATGGTGGCGCTGCACGCCGTGACTACCATGCCTTGGAAGGCCCGTACGCCGCAGCAGGTCCAATTTCCTGCACCACTCGTCGCCCATCTGCCATGTGCCGCACTACCGTGCGTTTGTGCTGGTCGTCCCTGCCGCATTTGGACGTTCTAGATAACATGGCGGTGAGGGAAGGCGAGCGCGCACAGGCGGAGGGCGAGTGCGAGAGCAGCTTTGAGCCGCTGCCGTACGGGCTGGGCAGCATTGGTAACGTCGTGCACCTGCTGAGACGCAGAGAGATCCGCGCCCCGCTCAGAGCACTCGCCTCTGTTGCTGCCCGCCCACTTCCCAGCCAGCAAAGCGTTTCCAAGGAAAAATTGCCTCCTGTTGGTGCTGTAACTGGTACTGCTGTTGCTGGTGGTGGGGGCTGTTGCTGGTGGTGCTGCTGTTGCTGCTTCTGCTGCCGCCACACCCGTCATTGCGTCTTACACAGCATCTTCTGACTGCGTGACTGGCAGCAGTGGCAGGCCTGCGGGAGGCGCAGCAACGGAGGAGCTGGTGGGGGGACAGCAACGGCAGCAAGACAGGGTCGCGGGCGTATTGGGCAGTGGGAGCGGGGATGGTGCTGACAGCCAACGAGTGGGGCAGACCGACATGGAGTATTCGTCGCATGATAGCGAGGGTGACGAAAATGGTGATGGCGATGATGGTGACGAGGATGGCGGTGGTGCAGGGAGAGGCAATGCGCGGTGTTGTGGGAAGGGCAAAGCACCTGTGGAGGAGCAGGACCCAGGTTAGTTGACCCCTCTTGAACTGCTCTTGGGACTCCTCTTGTATTGCCCTCGGACTCCTCTTGTATTGCCCTCGGACTCCTCTTGTATTGCCCTCGGACTCCTCTTGTATTGCCCTCGGACTCCTCTTGTATTGCCCTCGGACTCCTCTTGTATTGCCCTCGGACTCCTCTTGTATTGCCCTCGGACTCCTCTTGAACCGTTTCTTGAAAACCATCCTCCTCACGTGCTTTCCCATTCTCTGCGCCCTGTTCCTCCACCCTGCTCTACCAGAATCCGCCTCTGCACGTCTGTGGCGTGCTACAGCCGGAGCCAAGGGCGGTAGTGTGGAGGGCTACAGGCGCGCTCTAGGAGCCAACCGAGTGGGCTGTAGCAGCTGGCCCGCCAGCCGCCCCATGACCTGCCCTCTGCGCAACGCAGGGCTGGACGCTCCCAGAACGATGTGAGCTGTGAAATGGGCACACGTTGAGGGGAGGTGCGGTGACGGGACGGTGGGAGGGACGCATACAGGGAGAATTGGAATGCGTATGAAATGGTGGATATTCTTGGCAAGTCTTCTCTTTGTTGAATCGATTGGTCTCGCAATCTCTTTGCACATATACACTATTCACAAATGTTCACCCATCTGCATTACCCATTCTCAGTCGTCTTCCAGTTCCAACCATTCTCCTCATCATCTGCCCCTCCCATTCACCGCGCACCTCCCACGTCAACCGCTCTTTCCTCCCCACTCTGCCTTCCCCGCATGCCCCATGTCGCTCCCACCAGGTCGTCGAGCCTGCGGCCACGGCAGTTTGAGTACCATCCAACGGAGGCGCATCTGATGGTGTTTGGCACGCTGCACGGGGATGTGGTGGTACTCAACCACGAGTCAGACCGCCTCGTGGGCCACGTGCAGTCCGTTGGTGCCCCACACTCCATTCTTGGCCTCTGCTGGCTCAACAAACATCCCAACAGGGTACGCCCCTCTCCTGCCCGCCCTGCTGCTCCTGCTGCTCGCCTTGCTGCTGTTGGCTGTGTTTTTTGTGCTCCGTGCCTTTGCAATGGTTTGGAAGTGGCCATGTTTTCGCTGCTAAGTTCTCACTCATTCTTCTCCCCTCCTCCGTGCCCCTCACCCGCCCTACCCCACTCTCCTCCCTCCAACTCCTCTTTCCACCTGCCTGTCTCCTCTCCCTGTGCCTCTCCTCTCCATGTGTATGAGCGGGGATGCAGCTAATAGGCGGGTGTGACAACGGGTCCATCCAGCTGTACGACGTGGAGCGCATGCGCGCCTGTCTCGTCGCTGCCATCGGCCGCTCCGCTGCCGCCGCAGCCAGCACCAGCGGCGCCAGCAGCAGCGGCACAGGCAGCAGCGATGGCAGCAGCGTGGGTGGCGGCAGTGCAAGTGCACTGACTGGCAGTGGCGGGCGAGGTGCCACCACAGCAGCAGCAGCAGCAGCAGCAGCAGCAGCAGCGGCAGTAGCACCGGCGGACTTGACCACCCCTCCGGCTGTGCTGGCAGCGCCAGCAGCTGGTGCAGGACGCACAGGAGGTCTGGTGTCAGACAGTCCGCTTGGTCTTGGTGGTTCTGCAAGTGGAAGCTCTCCTGTGACTCCTGGACGGTTGCGGCACCCTGCCATCCACACATATGATGAGTTTGAGCAGCTCACGTCCGTGCATGTCAACTGCACTGATGACCTCTTCCTCGCCAGCGGGTATGTGTTTCTATACTGTGATGCTGCCACGCTTCCCGTACCCTCCCTCTCCCCTTCCTTGTTACTGCCTTGGTAAGCGTACACATTCCCAAGCTTCGTTTGCAAGACCATCCCTCCCACTCCATCCCTACTCCTCCCCGCCTCACCATCAAACCCCCCGCCCCCTCCGTGTCTCCATTTCTCACTTTCCTCCCTGGTTGCCAGGTACTCGAACCACGTGGGGCTGTACGACCTGCACACGGGGCGGCGGCTGCACACGCTGCACAACCTGCACCGCGAGCACATCAACGTGCTCAAGTTTGCCCACCACTCGCCGCACGTCTTCGCCACCTCCTCCTTCGACCGCCACGTCAAGCTCTGGGACGCGCGTCAGCGCATCTCGTCCTCGTCTGGGGGCGGGTTCGGGGGGCTGTTTGCGCAGGGGCGGGAGAGCGTGCGGCCGATTTACTCTGTGCGCAGTGACCGTGGCAATGTGATGGTGTGCTTCAGCCCTGATGATCAGTTCCTGCTGTCCTCTGCTGTTGACAATGAGGTGAGCGGCGCGCATGGACATGACAATGGATGACAGTTTTGCCCTGTTCTGTTAATACAAAGCCCCTTAATATCAGCCCGGACTTTCTTTCGCTGCACACTCTCCCCAACTGTCCCTCACCCTCCCTCCCTTCCCCTCCCTCCAACTCCTTCATTCTCTTACCAGGTGCGGCAGCACATAGCAGTGGATGGTCGGCTGCAGCAGCGGTTTGAGATAGCGGCGCTGGGCAGTGCGCACAACTACACGCGGTCCTACTACATGAACGGGCGTGACTACATTGTATCAGGCAGCTGCGAGGAGAACGTGGTGCGCATCTGCTGCGCTAAAACCGGTCGCCGCCTCCGCGACATCCCCCTGGAGGTGAGGGGGGCTGGGGCTGGGAACGGGGGTGTGCTGTGGGGATAATGGGGTTGCGTATGCTGGTTGTGCTGGTGGATTGTGCTGGTCTGGTGTGGCAGGCTACACTTGGGTGCATCACAAGTGTTTGCACTCTTCCATCACCCCACTCTTCCGCACCTCTCTCATCGCCATCCCCAATCCGTTTCCGCTTCTGCCGTTGCCCCTTGTCGCTTATGTGTGTCAGGGCAAGGGCGGCAAGAGCTCCCTCTACGTGCAATCTCTGCGAGGAGACCCCTTCAGGGTACGACTCTTACTCCCATGCCCCTGTGACCCTTTACCCCCTGCAATCTGCTCTGCATTAGCTGCCACATGTCACACTCCCTCATTTCAACAAACCATCCTGCTCCAACACAGCACACGCCCTACTACTCACCCATGTCACCCTCCACCTTTCTGAAGCCTTGCTTCTACCCTTAGTGTGGTGAATCACTGGTCTCGCCTGCACTGCCCTGGTCAATCTTCTGTGAGAACGTTTGCAATCACAGCACTTCCATTCATTGCGCTTCACTCCCCCCCTTGTTGCTGCACGCAGGACTTCCATCTGTCGGTGCTCGTGGCCTACAGCCAGCCCAACTCCCCCTCAGACATTGTCAAGGTGCGCCCCTGCCCTTGCGCCCCTTGCCCTGCTTCTGTATGCATGCCATATGCTCCTCGGTCGGCCAGCGCGCACATTCTTTGCTCATACATGTCCTTGTTCTCCCATCTCTTCCCTGCTTCTCTTTGCTGTGTGTGCAGGTGAATCTAGTGGCGGGTCCTCCGCACCGAAAGGGCCTAGACTTTCAGACTCGGCCGTTGGCGTCAGTGGGTGCGTAGACTCTGCGTTTGGCTGCAATTGCTATGTATGGCATGCCTTGCTGCCTTGTATCATGCTCCTAGCGGCTGTCTTGTTCCCACGTGGGATGGTGGATACATTGAGGGAAACAACTGACACTTTCTGGGATGGCATGTTGGGGGTAAAGGGATGGATGGTTGGGTGAAATAGACGATGCAGCTGGGGCTGGGTCTTGGCGAGTGACTAGGCTCCTGTTCGCGAGAGGACGTTGGAGGGATGGATGGATGAGTGCTCCTTTGGATTTTGGAAGGTGGGAAGAGGCACTGTATATGATGGCGACTATGCTGGATGATGCATTTTCGATACTTCTATACTTCTGTGTATCACCAGCAGAGCAAGGCTCTTGTAAGAACTCCTGTAATCGAAATATTAAATTGTAATAGGAGTTTAGCAATTAGGTACACTACGATGTCTTGATCCCCTTGCAAATTTGCCATCGCCTCAGCGTGTGTTGAAGGCGTCGGATCGCGTCACGGGCCGTCAACAAAAGCGCGTCTCGATCAACCGACCAAGGGAGAGAATTCGTGCGACAAACGACCACCTGCGAAACAGTCTGGCCAGAAGCACAGGTGACCTGAAGCATAGTTACTTTCCAGGCAAAAACAGCTTTATCTCACATCGCCTGTGTCGCAGCCAGTGGGCTCCAATATTTGTGGTGTGTTTGTGCGATCGCTTGCGACACGGAGAGCCGCAGGTGAAACGGGAGATGAATGCGCACCACACCATGTTTTCACGGGCAGCGCCAGTGGCGCCGATTTGGTGACCACAGCGATGAAGTTCCGCTCTTCTGGTTCATTTCGCTTCTCTCCTATCCACCATCCACCCTGCTGGGGCAAAATATTCTTCCAGCTCCACCGTCACCAAGCACTACCCACCCTCGCCTCCCACCCAACCACCCACTCGCCGACGCACTCTCCTCCAAGCCCCAACCAACCCAGCCAGCATTCGGCGCTCCACCTTTCCGTTCCATTCCTTTCCCTGCCCGCTCCAACTCGCCCCACCTGCCTCGTCCTCCCATCTGGCTGGAGTGGGGCTATTTTCCAACATCCCCCACCCGTGACCTCCCCCAAATGCTGACCCGACCCGCATTGCTCGGCTCTTACTGTACCCATCTTAGTCACAACAACACAACGCCACCCTCGATTTTCGACGATCGATCGCAGGATCGGCGTTCAGGTGACGCGTCCTCAGCTTCTGCCGCCGACTACCGACGCGGCTGGCACTCCTTGCTCTGCCTGCGTGCCTCACGCCACCGTTGATCAAAACCACGAACGAGAACATCCGCTCCTCGCCTCCCCTCGCCACGCCAGCCAAGCAGCATACTACCCCGCGTGAATCCTGCTGGCCCATTTATATCCGTTGCGCTTGCGGTGATCCTGAACTTGCTCGTATCGCATGTCCGTGCTTCAGTGCTCTTAAAACCAGGGTGCACATTCAACGCGGTTCGGCTTGAGATGTTGGGAAGGGGGTTTGGAGAAAAACAGTGATTGGCTCACGAGGGGCGACAAAAAAATGATTCCGCTAGAGCTTCGGGCATTTCGTAGGTGGCGGGAGGGGGTGAAATGGCGGGAGTGGGTGAAACCGAATGGCGGGAGGGATGAAACAGATTGGCGGGAGGGGGGGGAAACGAAATTGCGGGGGAGGGGGGAAACAAAATTGCGGGGGAGGGGGGAAACGAATTTCGACGGGGAGGGGGAAATGAAATTGCGGGGGCGTGGGGAAACGAAATTGCGGGGGAGGGGGGAAACGAATTTCGACTTGAAGGGGTTGAAAGCACACCTCGTAACCCACTCAGTCAAGGGATAACCTTTGATGCACATTCAGCTGAATGTGCACCCCGGTTTTAACGCAACCTCGAACTGACTTTTGAGTCGACTTAAAAAGTCAGCTCGCGTATGTGCCGCACGTCACAGAGCTGACTTTTGAGTCGACTTAAAAAGTCAGCTCGCGTATGTGCCGCACGTCACAGAGCTGACTGTTGAGTCGACTTAAAAAGTCAGCTCGCGTATGTGCCGCACGTCACAGAGCTGACTTTTGAGTCGACTTAAAAAGTCAGCTCGCGTATGTGCCGCACGTCACAGAGCTGACTTTTGAGTCGACTCAAAAAGTCAGCTCGCGTATGTGCCGCACGTCACAGAGCTGACTTTTGAGTCGACTTAAAAAGTCAGCTCGCGTATGTGCCGCACGTCACAGAGCTGACTTTTGAGTCGACTTAAAAAGTCAGCTCGCGTATGTGCCGCACGTCACAGAGCTGACTTTTGAGTCGACTTAAAAGTCAGCTCGCGTATGTGCCGCACGTCACAGAGCTGACTTTTGAGTCGACTTAAAAAGTCAGCTCGCGTATGTGCCGCACGTCACAGAGCTGACTGTTGAGTCGACTTAAAAAGTCAGCTCGCGTATGTGCCGCAAGTCACAGAGCTGACTTTTGAGTCGACTTAAAAAGTCAGCTCGCGTATGTGCCGCACGTCACAGAGCTGACTTTTGAGTCGACTTAGAAAGTCAGCTCGCGTATGTGCCGCACGTCACAGAGCTGACTTTTGAGTCGACTTAAAAAGTCAGCTCGCGTATGTGCCGCACGTCACAGAGCTGACTTTTGAGTCGACTTAAAAAGTCAGCTCGCGTATGTGCCGCACGTCACAGAGCTGACTTTTGAGTCGACTTAAAAGTCAGCTCGCGTATGTGCCGCACGTCACAGAGCTGACTTTTGAGTCGACTTAAAAAGTCAGCTCGCGTATGTGCCGCACGTCACAGAGCTGACTTTTGAGTCGACTTAAAAAGTCAGCTCGCGTATGTGCCGCACGTCACAGAGCTGACTTTTGAGTCGACTTAAAAAGTCAGCTCGCGTATGTGCCGCACGTCACAGAGCTGACTTTTGAGTCGACTTAAAAAGTCAGCTCGCGTATGTGCCGCACGTCACAGAGCTGACTTTTGAGTCGACTTAAAAAGTCAGCTCGCGTATGTGCCGCACGTCACAGAGCTGACTTTTGAGTCGACTTAAAAAGTCAGCTCGCGTATGTGCCGCACGTCACAGAGCTGACTTTTGAGTCGACTTAAAAAGTCAGCTCGCGTATGTGCCGCACGTCACAGAGCTGACTTTTGAGTCGACTTAAAAAGTCAGCTCGCGTATGTGCCGCACGTCACAGAGCTGACTTTTGAGTCGACTTAAAAAGTCAGCTCGCGTATGTGCCGCACGTCACAGAGCTGACTTTTGAGTCGACTTAAAAAGTCAGCTCGCGTATGTGCCGCACGTCACAGAGCTGACTTTTGAGTCGACTTAAAAAGTCAGCTCGCGTATGTGCCGCACGTCACAGAGCTGACTTTTGAGTCGAATTAAAAAGTCAGCTCGCGTATGTGCCGCACGTCACAGAGCTGACTTTTGAGTCGACTTAAAAGTCAGCTCGCGTATGTGCCGCACATCACAGATGGACGGAACCCTTCCCACATGTCACCCCCCTCTCCCCCTCACACACAATCACTCTCACTCACCCAGATGCCAACACGCACACTCTCACAGAAACCCACCACGGTGCGTTGCGTTGCCACACTGCCCCCCCATGCCGCTGTGTCCCCAGGGCTAGCGCACAGAGCACGGAGCAGCGGCTGCTGGTGGAGGAGCAGGAGAGCGCAGCACTGCAGGCACAGGAGGAGGCGGAAGCATGGGCGGCGGAGGAGGCGCGCGAGCATATGAGGAGCGCCCGGGACGCTGTTGCCCACATGCACTCTGCTGTCTCCGCCACCCTCGCTGCTGCTGCCGCCGCCGCTGCCGATGCTCGTGCTGGTGCTGGTGGGGCTGGTGATAAGGCTGGAGCGGGGAATGCAGAGGGAGGGGGGGATGGGGGAGTGAAGCACGAGAATGAGCCACCCGTTGGGTCACACGTGCATGGGCGGGGGCTGCTGGGATCCTCATGCAGCAGTCAGCAGCACCACAAGCCCCCGCCGGCCCCTCACACACCACAGCACCACAGCCCACCAACCCCTGCAACTAAATCACCATCCGCGCTCTTTCCTTCCCCAGTCCCCCTGGCAACGCGAAAGCCAGCTGCCACCACTGCTGCTACCGCCCCGCCGTCCCTGCCCCCGCCTTCCCCTCCCCCGCCACCGCCCCCTCCCCCTGGCCCATGGTACGGGCTGTTCAGCGCGGGCAAGGCGCTGAGCACGATTCTGGTGCCCATGGGGGCGCGCAACGTGAAGGTCAGCGGTAACTCCGTGAATATAACGTCGGATAGTGGCAACAGCAGCGCCACCATCACCAAAGGTGCGTGTGCATTGTGCATCCCATGGGGGTTGGTGGTTCAATGTGTGTGCGTGCGTGCATTTCTTGTAAAAGGCATGGTGCTGGGCCGGCCCATTGCGGCCAGGCCAGTGATAGCTTGTGCCTCCCTCCCTACTCGTCCCTCCGCCTCTCCCCGACTTTCCCTGTGTTCATTCATTCATTCATTCATCCATCCATCCATGAATCTTCACGGCCATCTCCCTGGCAGGGTCGCGGTGGCAGTCCCTGAGCAAGTACTCATCGGGGGTGTTTCAAGCGCGCATGACGTGCCCTGCCAACGACACCACTGGCCTCCTCTTCTCCTTCTTCGTGCGTTCCCCCTCCCTGCCCTCCCTTGCCCCTCTCCTCCCTTGTCGGCCCCGCTTCTCCCATGTATCTCTTTCGTTGCCCCTCCTTATCCTGCCCCCACCATACCACCCATTTCCGCACCCCAGTCCCTCTCTCTCCTCGACCAACCCACCACAACCTTTCACCATTTTCAATCGATCCCTCCTTCCCCGTGCTTCCTCTGCTGCACCTCCCGACTCACGTTACCCCTGCCGCCTCTCCCCCTGCATTTCTCCCTCCCCCTTTCCCCGTTTCCCCCAGCTGAGCACGATGGCAGGGGAGGGCAACCACAGCGGGGTGAGCTTTGACTTCCCCGGGGCCAACAAGACGCAGCTGTACGCCACGCACCACATCAATGGCCGTGCCTACCCCATAACCGTGCCTCTCAACTTCTCCTGTGATGCACAGCCGCACCTCTACACCATATACTGGGACGCCAAGTACACTGCGTGAGTGCGCCTGTGCATCTACACCGTGCAGGGATGAGAGCTGGCTTGTGGCGGTTGTGCACTTGCTTGTGGGGAAGCATGATGGCAGGGTGGGTGTGAGGTGCAAAGCACCTCACATCAAATCCATCCCCTCTCTCCCCAACCACCTGCTTCTCTCAGGCTATGCGCCACTAGCCTTGCGCCACGCCCTTCACATGCCCATCTTTACCCACTCCCACTTCTGACCCCCCCACCCCCCCACACCAGGTGGTACGTGGATCAGGTGTTGGTGCGGCTGCTGCAGTTCCGTCCCAAGCGCTCCTACCCCACACAGCCCATGTACCTGTACGGCACACTGCGCCCTGCTGCCGCCACCAACATGGCCAAGCGCGCTGGCGTCGCCAAGGGCAACTACACCAACCTCGCCCAGTGGACAGGTGTGTGTGTGCGTGTGTGCATGCGTGCGTGCGTGCGTGCGTGTGTGTGTGTGTGTGTGTGTGTGTGTGTTCCTGTCTCCCACACCCACCTTTCTTCCTCCTCTTTCCCTCCCACCTCTCCCCCTTCCCACCCTTCTTCCTCTCTCCACACCCCCTTTCTCTCCCCACCTTCTCCCTACCCCCCCACACCGCCTCCCCCCTTCCCCCAGGCATCACAGTGATCGGTCCCCTGATGGCGCAAGTCGGCCCAGCGCCCCCCAAGAAGCCCCCGGCAGCGGTGCAGTGGCCGCGCACGAACGGCAGCATCATGGCGCCGCTGATGGTGGACTACTGCGACGACCACTGCCTCTCCTGCGCCAACAGCACTGACGGCTCCGCCACCATCCGCTACGACAACCGCTGCGGTGAGCCCACCCCAACGCTGCTGCTGCTAGAGTGGGGCTTGGGTGGTGGGTTCAACGGCTGATGGCCCCTCTGCGGTATCGATGCATCATGCATGTGCAATCTTGTGGGGAGCATAGGAATTGAGAGGGTGTGGGAGTGAGGGAGCGAGAGGAATGAGTGTCTAATGCTGTGGGTGCGCATTGTCTTCCATGGTGCAATGGTGCGTGGTACATGGCAGGGTCTCGCTTCCGGTCATCGCTGCCCTACTACTTTGCGTTCATCAGTGGCGACGTGCGCTGTGCCCCGGGGCTCACCAGCGGCATCGTCACCAGCTTCTATGTGCGTGCCCTGCTCACCCACCCCTTACCTTAGAATGCCCATAGCAGTGAGAAGAGTGCTCATGTGCTCATGTGCTCATGTGCTCATGTGCTCATGTGCTCATGTGCTCATGTGCTCATGTGCTCATGTGCTCATGTGCTCATGTGCTCATGTGCTCATGTGCTCATGTGCTCATGTGCTCATGTGCTCATGTGCTCATGTGCTCATGTGCTCATGTGCTCATGTGCTCATGTGCTCATGTGCTCATGTGCTCATGTGCTCATGTGCTCATGTGCTCATGTGCTCATGTGCTCATGTGCTCATGTGCTCATGTGCTCATGTGCTCATGTGCTCATGTGCTCATGTGCTCATGTGCTCATGTGCTCATGTGCTCATGTGCTCATGTGCTCATGTGCTCATGTGCTCATGTGCTCATGTGCTCATGTGCTCATGTGCTCATGTGCTCATGCATGTGCTCATGTGCTCATGTGCTCATGTGCTCATGTGCTCATGTGCTCATGTGCTCATGTGCTCATGTGCTCATGTGCTCATGTGCTCATGTGCTCATGTGCTCATGTGCTCATGTGCTCATGTGCTCATGTGCTCATGTGCTCATGTGCTCATGTGCTCATGTGCTCATGTGCTCATGTGCTCATGTGCTCATGTGCTCATGTGCTCATGTGCTCATGTGCTCATGTGCTCATGTGCTCATGTGCTCATGTGCTCATGTGCTCATGTGCTCATGTGCTCATGTGCTTCATGGTGCTCATGTGCTCATGTGCTCATGTGCTCATGTGCTCATGTGCTCATGTGCTCATGTGCTCATGTGCTCATGTGCTCATGTGCTCATGTGCTCATGTGCTCATGTGCTCATGTGCTCATGTGCTCATGTGCTCATGTGCTCATGTGCTCATGTGCTCATGTGCTCATGTGCTCATGTGCTCATGTGCTCATGTGCTCATGTGCTCATGTGCTCATGTGCTCATGTGCTCATGTGCTCATGTGCTCATGTGCTCATGTGCTCATGTGGTCATGTGGTCATGTGCTCATGTGCTCATGTGCTCATGTGCTCATGTGCTCATGTGCTCATGTGCTCATGTTGCTCATGTGCTCATGTGCTCATGTGCTCATGTGCTCATGTGCTCATGTGCTCATGTGCTCATGTGCTCATGTGCTCATGTGCTCATGTGCTCATGTGCTCATGTGCTCATGTGCTCATGTGCTCATGTGCTCATGTGCTCATGTGCTCATGTGCTCATGTGCTCATGTGCTCATGTGCTCATGTGCTCATGTGCTCATGTGCTCATGTGCTCATGTGCTCATGTGCTCATGTGCTCATGTGCTCATGTGCTCATGTGCTCATGTGCTCATGTGCTCATGTGCTCATGTGCTCATGTGCTCATGTGCTCATTGCTCTGTGCTCATGTGCTCATGTGGCTCATGTGCTCATGTGCTCATGTGCTCATGTGCTCATGTGCTCATTGCTCGCTCATGTGCTCATGTGCTCATGGTGCTCATGTGCTCATGTGCTCATGTGCTCATGTGCTCATGTGCTCATGTGCTCATGTGCTCATGGCTCATGTGCTCATGTGCTCATGTGCTCATGTGCCTCATGTGCTCATGTGCTCATGTGCTCATGTGCTCATGTGCTCATGTGCTCATGGGCTCATGTGCTCATGCTCATGTCTCATGTGCTCATGTGCTCATGTGCTCATGTTCTCATGTGCTCATGTGCTCATGTGCTCATGTGGTTCCTCCTTGGAGAGCATAGTGAGCACTTGCACCATGCTGCCTGCCCACGCCGCCTGCCATGCCGCCTGAGTTCCTCTGTCACTCCACCGCACTTGTGAGTGCGTGCAGATGTCATCGCTGGAGGGCAGTGGCATACAGGACGAGATAGACTTCGAGTGGCTGGCAAGAACAAGTCGATCGTGCAGACCAACTTCTACGTGGGCGGGGTGGGCGGGCGGGAGAAGATCGTGGACCTGGGCTTTGACTGCTCACAGGCCTTCCATAACTACGCCATCCTCTGGACGCCCTCGCAGCTCGTGTACGTCCCTGCCTTGCCACGCCAGGCCATGCCATGCCCTGTACAGCCCCTTGTGTGTAGCGGGCCTCTTTCGTGTGGCCCCTCACGGCTCGCAGTGGCCCCTCGTTCTGAACGCCCTTGCAACTTGTGTGCCTGCATGGCCGTGTGCTGCTGCCACATGCTGCATTGCACCTCTCCATGGCCTCTCAATGAAGTCCCTGCCCCCACATCTACACAATGCATGCACTGCTTACCTGCACTGCACTACTGACACCTCCCCTGTTCCTGCGCCCTTCCCCGCCCCTGCCGTTCCCTCCTGCTTCTCCCATTCCCTCCCCTCTTTCTCCGCCTCTTCCTGTCTGCCGTATGCCCTCCCACCATGCACCACACCAGCTGGTTCATAGACTACAAGGCAGTGCGTGTCGAGTACAACGCCTCCTCCGTTCTCCCCCCCCGCCAAGCGCAGCAAGCCGGGCGCACCCGTGCCGTCCAAAGCATACCCCTCCAAGCCGGCCTTCTTTTACGCCAGCATGTGGGATGCCAGCAGTGCAGGCAACGGGTGGTGGGCGGGCAATAGAAGTGCGTCCACTGTGAACAACCCCAACTGGGCCATCTTTGCCCGGTATAAGAACCTGCGAGTGCTCTCGCCTGTGTTGTCGCGATGAGTTGACGGCACATGGACTGTGGCTGGTGTTGCAGCTAGTTGGGTACCTTTGGTTTGATTGCCAGGTTGGTGTTTGTTCTGGTCTGGACCCAGCCGTGTATGGCTTATGCGTGTCTGTTGTATCATGTATCATCTGCCATGTTGTGTAATTATTTTGTTCATAAAAAAACATTTCCACCAACATGTGTCATCTTTGGACCATGGCTTTGTTGATCCTCTACCTTAAATGTAAGCACTGATGTCACTTTTCCTAAACGAGTATATGATACACACGTTTTTGTTGGAGGGTACCTTAGTATTAATGGAACGGCTATGTATGTATTCACGTGTGTTTATTGAAAGGGACTAATAACTGAGAAACGCCATCGGACCTTACCGCGTACATACGTCCAAAGCTCGGATCCTTTTTTTTCCCCACGGCACATTCGTTCCCGCCATTCTGTTCCCAGCAACCCAAGAGCGCTGGGACGTACCACGCACTGCACGCTTCCTCTCCGCACTCTTGTTCCGCCCTTCTCAGTTCCGCTCCGCTTCCCCCATGACTGCCAAAGCGCGCTCTGCGGCGCACTCCCCCCCCTGCCCCGTCTTCGCCAGCAGCACGCTCGAATGGACTCCGCTCGGCCGCTTCCACCGCTTCCTCGGCGCCGCCTCCCTCCCCCGCCGCATTCAGCGCTTGCGCCGCCGGCGCCACCCTGCTGCGCGCAAGGTGCTCGGCGCAAGCCGACAACGGCGCATTCCGCCCTCCTTGTCAGCTGCCGCGCGGGGAGACAACCTCCTACCCGGAGGCGCTCTGCCATCGGCGGATGATCCACAGGCGCCGCAGCAGGAGCATGAGCAGCGGCGGAGGCGCAGCGATGGGCGGCGAGTGCGGTTCGATTTGGGCGACAATGACGACGATGAAGCTAGGAAAGAGACGAACGCTGGCGACAGCAGCAGCCGGCAGCGGTTCGGGTTGGAGCGCGGCGGGCATCCGTTGGGCGTGCAACCCCTAGGGAACCTCTTCCTGCGCTCCGACCATAACCCCCTTAAACCCCTCCGCAACGCGCGCGACGCGGGGCTCGGCGCACTGCGGCGCCTGCCGGACCCAATCCTGCTGGACATCGTGGGGCGGCTGCCCGCCGAGTCGCTGTGCCACGTGGGCATGGCGAGCCGCGCGCTGCACGTGGTGGCGCACCAGGAGGAGCTGTGGCGCGCGCTGGTGCTGGAATCCGCGGAAGGCGGGTTCGAATGGGAGGCGAGCTGGCGGTGGACTTACGTGAAATGGCGCATGGGCGCACGGGCGCAGGCGGAGGGAGAGGGGGGAGGGGAAGGGAGGGGAAGCAAGCAGGGAAGGGAAGGGCGTGAAACGGAAGGAGAAGCATGGGGAGGAGCGCGGGGTGTTGCAGTACCGACCGCCATTGAAGGTGCGCCTCGCTGACCAGAACCTGATTCTCTTCCACCCACCAAACCACCCCCGTTTTCTACCTTCAGTCCAAGACAGAGTTCTGTCACATTCACTGCAAAACCCAGAGCCTCTGTCATTGCCCTCGTACCCTCTCCGTCCACCTCCATTTTCCCCCGTGATCCCCCCTCCGCACCCTCTCAGGGCCCTTGCACCAACTCACCACAACTCGCCCCCATATCCCACCCATCTCTATTCAACACCCCTCACCCCTTTGAACCCTTAACCCCAAACCCCTTCCCCCTCGCCTCCCCCTCTCAGGTACCGGACTTCTATTCGGACTATTTCTTCCAGAGCTGGCTCTGCACCAGCCTCGCCCTGCCGCCCGCCTGGACCACCCACGACAACATCCCGCGCGTCGCCGCCACCTCCCTCTCGCCCGCCGACTTCGCCGCCCGCTTCGAGCGCCCCGGGCGGCCGGTGATCATCACAGGCGCCATCAACCACTGGCCGGCGTTGTCCCGGTGGCAGGACCGTGCGTACCTGTGTGGCGCAGCGGGCGACAGTGCGTTTGCGTGCGGGCCGGTGGAGCTGAGCTTGGATCAGTACTGGCGGTATGCGGATGGAGTGCAGGAGGAGCGGCCGCTGTACGTGTTTGACCCGCGGTTTGGGGAAAAGGCGCCTGCTCTGTTGGGAGACTATGAGGTGCCCGAGTACTTCCGAGAGGACCTCTTCCAAGTGCTGGACCTGGGGACGGGTGGTGGGGAGAATGGAGGGGAGAACGGGGGTGAGCGGGGCGCGGGTGGAGCTGGGGGAGAAGGGGGAGATGGGGGTGAGGGGAGTGCGGGCGGGAGGGGAAAAACGGGGGAAACTGGTGAAGTGGAGGTGGGTGCAGGAGAGGGAGAGGGAGAGGGAGAGGGGCAAGGGAAGAAGGAGGAGACGAGTGGGCGACCTGATTTTCGGTGGCTGATCATGGGCCCTGCCCGGGCGGGGTCATCATGGCACATAGACCCCAACTCCACGTGCGCCTGGAACGCCGTCATCACCGGCTCCAAGAAGTGGATCCTCTTCCCGCCCAACGAGGGCCCGCCACCTGGCGTGCGTGCGAGCCCCGATGGTGCTGACGTGGCGGCGCCGGTGTCGATCACGGAGTGGTTTATGAATTACTACGAGGAGATGCGGCGGGGGCCGGTGACGGCGTATGAGGGCGTGTGTGCGGCGGGCGAGGTGATGTTTGTGCCGCATGGATGGTGGCACATCGTGCTCAACCTGGAGGAGTCCATTGCTCTCACTCAGAACTATGTCTCCAGGTGGGCACGCAAGAGAGCGTCTCTTGTCGCTCACACATGCACACACATGCATGCCCTCATCTTCTTTCCACCCATCGCTTTTCTGTCACCTGCCTTGTCCCCATCGCTGCACTCCTCCCCTTCCAATCCAAGCCATGATTTCCCAGTCTCAACCTCTCTCCTCCCCTTGGCCCCCTCCCCCTCTTCGCCCTCTCCCCTCTCTCCCTTCCCCCTCACACCGCATCCCCCAGCGCGAACCTGTTGGATGTGATGCGGTTCCTGCAGCGGCCCAATGCGCGTGTACTGGTGTCAGGCATGGGCGAGGGGCAGCGCGAGGGGCTGCACGACCGCTTCCGTGAGTGCCTGGCGGTGCACCGCCCAGGGCTGCTGGAGAGGGAGGAGAGGGACGAGGAGGAGCGCGAGCTCAGACGCAAGCAGAAGGCTGCTTTCTGGGAGCAAGCAGCTAATGCGGGTGATGGGGGGTTCAGATTTGGATTTTAGAATGGTGTGCTGGTTTGCTGTTGAGATTAGAGACTTGGTGAAGGAGAAGCAGGACAGAGAAGGTGCTTGAATTGATTAGTTTAGATGTGTTACTTGCTTAGTATATACCATGTATGTCCCCACTGTCGCTGCAATGGAGCTCGTCGTGTAAGTGCAGATTATGGTACCGCAAGTTATAAGCAGCATTTTTTTGGAGCATCAAATCCATGAGTAATAAAACCGTGGTGCAACGAAATGGGTGATAAGTGAACGAAGTCACATCCAAAGGTCAGCAGAAGCAAGAAACGTCCAAAGGTATGCTAATGATATTATCAAACTGCAGCGGGTAACCCGCTTAAGATGAGTGCACGGTCTAAGCCATGTGCTCCACAGCCCACAGCTGCTTTAGTCACATGCTCTCCATGCACCTCTGATTAGTCACTAGTCAAGCACGACAAATGGCAGCACAGGGGAACAACCAGGCAACAGAGCACACCAACAGCAGCAACTCAAAGCAGCAGTGCACCAAGTAAGCAAGCAAGCAAAGGGTGCGAGGGAACGGAAGCAATGGCAACACTCCCTTCCGAAGCACGCAAGCTAAGCGGCGCCAGGAGGAGCGGCAGCAGGCGGGGCAGCAGCACTGTAATCATACCCTCCCTGCGCACCACCCTCCGCTCCACCATACCCCTGCCCTGCCGCCTGCTGCCCCCCCGCCGGGGGCTGCTGCTGCTGCTGCTGCCCATACGCATCCTGCCCTCCCTGCGCCTGCTGCCCCTGCCCGTAGTAATCATACCCGCCCTGCTGCGCACCATACCCTGGCTGGGCATACCCCTGCTGCCCATACCCCTGCTGATCATACCCCTGCTGCTGAGGATACCCCCCCGGTGCTGCTGCATACCCCGCAGGAGGCGCCTGCTGCCCCTGCTGCTGCGGGTACCCCTGCTGGTATCCCCCATAGTACCCCGCCTGCCCGCCCTGCTGAGCGCCATACGCGTACCCCCCGTCCCCAGCAGGGGGGGGCGCCTGTGCGCCCTGCCCATAGTAATCGTACCCTCCCCCTGCTGGTGCGCCTCCTGCTGGCTGCGCGGGTGGCTGTGCGGCTGGCGGCTGCTGCGCTGGCGGGGCAGGCGGGGGCTGCTGCCCCCCTGGTGGTGCGCCCGCGCCCCACCCCCCCTGCTGCTGGTACTCCCCGCCTCCTCCCGCCTGCGCCCCGTATCCCCCCCCGTAGCCCTGCCCTTGCCCGTACTGCTGCGGCGGCCCCCCGTACTGCCCCTGGCTGTACCCTCCCCCGTATCCCCCGCCCTGCTGCGGCTGCTGCCCCGGGGGCGGCTGCTGGTATCCTCCGCCGCCCCCTCCGCCCTGCCAACCGCCCGGGCCCGAGCGGTAACCCCCCTGCTGCCCCCCGTACCCTCCGCCGCCTCCCCCTCCGCCACCACCGGGACCTGACCTTCGAGGCTGCATTGCCAAGGACGCGCGGGGGGGAGAGAGGGTGGACGAGCGGCGAGGGCACGAGGGCAAGCGAGCAAGAGAAGAGGCAAGAGAGGAAGGCAAGAGCGGAGGGGCCGGCATACAAGAAGCATACAACAGCAAGGGGAGTGGGGGAGGAAGGAGAAGGAGGAGCGGGGCGAAGGGAGAGACCGAAAGGAGGGAGGGCAGGACGAGCACAAGCACAGGCATGCAAGCAAGCAAGATGGGGGGGACAAGGGCAAGGCAAGGAGCGAGAGAATGCAGGAGAGCCGGGAAGGGTGGGAGGGGAACGGGGGAGCACACAAGGCAAACAAGAGACGCAGAAAGGCAGAAAATTTGGATGAAAGGCATGATCGATAATGATAGGCTCGCATGGCACTCAGATGGATCACGTCATGGGGGCGAGGGGGAGATGGGGACGGGGGGAGGGGAAGGGGGGGAAAGTGGAGGGGAGATGTAAGGGAGGTACGTACAGGGAGGCGGAGAGGGGCGGACGGAAGTCAGAGAGGGTGGGGCAACACAGCTTTTCAGCTCGACAGAGGGAGAGAAAGAGAGTCAGGACAGCAGGTGTCAACGAGACACAAGAATTCCGTAACACCACGCAATGCGAGTACGATGAGCAGCACGAGCATGAGCGAGTAACGACGGCCACGGGAGGCGAGCACGAGAGGTGTAACGACCAAGTCCATCTCAAGAGACGAGAAGCGCGTAAGGAAGGCTAACCACGAAGTCCAAGCAAGAGAGCGCGATAGATGCAAAGGCGGAGAGGCTCTGAAAGGGAAAGAGGCGCGCAGGCAGGCGGGGGGCGAGGCGTGCGAGGCCCGCAGAGGGCTGGGCTGGTGTGGTCTGGTGCGGTTTGATGTGGTGCGCAGGGCAACTGAAGGAGCAGCGCCGCGCGGCACGCAGTGACGCGCGGAGAGGGCGAGTGGCGTGGCGCGCTGAGTGCGTCCCCTGCGCTGCTGTGCTCTGCACACTAGCGACACCCACGCAGCCAGCCGTGTGGAGTGGAATCACACAGGGTGAGACGACTCTGGGCATCGCATCACATCGCATGGCATGGCATGGCACGGGATAGCACGGCACTGCATTGCATTGCATCGAACCACACGGCACAGCATTGCAAGGAAGTGCAGAGTACTGGCATTGGTATCAGGATTGTGAAGGCATCGTGAGCAGAGGTCACAGTAGAAGCGAGTCACCACAACAGAGCTACGCTTTGCATTTTGCACGAAACGGGAAGCTGATTGGGCCGCAATTGGAAGCAGCGTACATGCAGCGAGCGGGAACCGACGAGACTCGCATACACCAACGCGCCAAGAGACACGCATGACTGAGCGGTGTGGAATACAAGTCCCATAACACGCCTGTTAACGTTTCCAACCGTCACCGGCAATAGAGACAGCGGTGGTGACGATGCATGCAGAATCCACAGCACGCGCAACAGAGAGGACTCACAAAGCAAGATTGTGATGGAGAGCTAGACAGAGAGAGGGGGCGGCAACAAACAGCGACCGGAGAACGACAAGAGACGCCAAGGTACCGCACGCAAAGAACCACCCCATGTGCTCCAGAACGACGGGCCGAGGGGAGGAAGAGGGGAGAGGAGCGGGGAGGGAGGGGGAGGTGGAGTGGGGGGTGTGAAGGAAAGGCGGGAGAAGAGGGGGAAAAGAGGGTGCGCGAGGGAGGGGAAGGGGGGGAGCGGCAACTTACGTCGTCGAGGACCTCTTTGATGAGGTCCTGCGCCATGTCCGTCTGCGCCTTGCTGCCCATCAGCATCACGTTGCGCTCCGTGCACCCCGGCTCCACCTCGCGATCGCTCTGCACCTGCACGCACCGCCCACGCGCCACGGTGTCGGTGTGGGGGGATTGGAGGGATTGGGGGGGGAAGGGGAGGACGGAGGCAAGTGTGAGGAAGGAACAGGCGCGACGAGCGTCGACGGAAGGGAAACGGAAACGGACGGTGTGGAGGGGGGGATAGTCGGAGCGCGGCGAAGGGAGTGAAACGAAATTGAAAGAAAGGTGTGCCACGTGGTGTGCATGCAGTGTGACACGTCAGCAGCAGAGAGAACGCGGGCATCGATACCTGAATCCTTGCACCGGAGCGCGCCTGAAGGCTCTTAATCGTCTCTCCACCTCGACCAATCATGAGGCCGACCTGAAACAACCGCACGGAGGAGGCAACGCGCAGGGTACACGGCATTATGGAAATTAAAAGTTAGGTCTCAAAAAACAGGCGAACACAATGATAAAAAAAAGGATCCTAAGTGGGACGCGAATAGATTAAGGCGCTCATAAGGCGCACCTTGTTGTTGGGGATCTTAATCGTCACCGTCTCCCCTCCACCCTGTGCTCCAGGGTACGATCCCCCTCCGCCTCCTCCGCCTCCTCCACCACCTCCACCTCCTGCCGCTCTGGCCGCGGCTGACTGCGCAGAGCAGAAACGGGGCGAGCATGACGTTAATGCGATGAATAAGGGCCGGTCGAACGAGTCAGTCAGAGTTAAGAAATAAAAAAAGCGAGGAGAGTGAGAAAAGGGAGGATGGGAGTGGGGGAATCGGAAGGGGAACGGACGGGGGAAAAAACAAAAAAAGAATTGGCGGACGCGAAAAGGGGAGCGAGAGGGGGGAGCATTGAGGGCGCGGACCTCTTCGAGCACTTGCTTAATGAGTTGCTCCGCCTGCGCGATTTGCTCCGCCGTGCCCGTGAGCTCCACGGGGCGCGTGGGCGCGCGCGGGTCCGCCTCCATGTCGCGCGTGACCTGGATCTTGGCGCCCGACTGCGCCTGCAGGTACTTGATCGTCTCGCCGCCCTTGCCGATGATCAGCCCCACCTGTTACAGCGCGATTGCATCGCCATGTGCACGCGGGTGGTACCATCGGGGGTGGCGTACGCAATCAAGAAGCGGGGGACCGACCGATCCGAGAATGAGATTAAGAACTTGTATTTTTTAAAGTAAGAACTTACGATAGATGGTCTTATGGCGGGGACCTTAAACAATTGGCTTGCGACAGATCAAATGAGGAAAATATCTGGCACGTAAGCAGGAGCTGAGCCAGCTCCACATAAGCAACTCACCCGCGTGTTCGGCACGTCGATCTTCTTTGACTGCGTAGCGGCGCCGCCCTGTTGATCGTAGTAAGGCGCGGCGCCCCCCGGCTGCGGCTGCTGGTAGTACGGCGGCGGCTGGCTCTGCTGCTGCGCGCCAGCGCCATAGCCTGCACGCACAACACATCCTTCCATCAGCACATCGGGCAAATCACGCTGTTTTGTTTTCTTATTTTTCAGAAAAAAAAATGCTGGTGAAAATACGCCTGAGAATAAAATGTAGGAGTTATAGGCGATTTAAAAGGTTGTTACCAGGCGGACCTTGCGATCCGGGAGGACCGGGCGCGAAGCTCGCCACACCACCCGGCGGGCCTCCGCCGTTCGCGCCGCTCACGCCGGGAGGAGCCACGGCGGCGGCAACGCCTGCGGGCGGCCCGTCGTCGAACTTGGACCGCTTCGCGCCTCCCGCGTTAAGAAACTTCTGCGCGAGCTCTTCCGCCTTGCGCTTCGCCTGATCGAAATCAGACAGCGCGATCGGTGCCCCGGTGGTCTGCGCAGCCGGGGGAGTTGTCGCGGGGGGTGCGACGGGCAGCGCTCCTGGAGCGGCAGGCGGAGCAGTCGCGGCGGCGGCCGGCGCACCAGGCGCAGAGTCTGGAGGGGTAGAAGTGGGCGCGGGTGCGTCCTGAGAGGACTGTGGAGGTGCGGTGTCAGCCATGGCGAAGATTAAAGGACGCTAAACAATGACTTCAGGAGGAACCAATAGATCGGAGCAAAAAAGAAGTTTGAGCGAGGGAGGGAAGATCGAAGAAAGGCACTAAATTGTGAGTCGTGGTGGTTGGGCGGGAAAGTGGTGGAAACCGCCTGTAGTCACTGTGCGACGTGACACTTTCGATTCGACGTTACAAATCTCTGTATCAATAAGTGAAAGGCACCTTATATTTGTTGGTTCAATACCCACAAAAATCTCATTACGCTCTCTCCCAAGTGTGTCGCAGTCTAAATCTGCTGCAATGCCACCCTCGTGCATTATAGTGCACGAGGAACAAAAATTGACATGTGCACAACCCGAGGCCCTCCAAACCAAACCGCACACCACCTTCACACCAAGACACCACACCGCAACCGCCACTGGCCCCATGTTGACCCACCCAGATCCACTCATGGGCCCCACTACCCCTCACTTTCTGCATGAGTATGAGAGTCAAACATCAAAGTCGTCAATCTCATTGCCTGTGGACGAGGCAGATGAGGTGGAGAGCGAGGGCGGGAAGTAGGGGCCTTCGCAGTCAGGAGCATAAGGATACTTCCTCCACCGGGTGGTGCACCCCACACACACCCACAGGGGGTTGTACCCTGGGTAGTCTGTGAGATGGTCCCCTCCCAGCACACACTGTGCCATGCGCATGCCTGCCACCAGCGGAGCTGATGGGAAGCCGTACACGATGGGAACAAAGCGCGACCTGCGGCACTGGGGGCACTGCGCTGCCCTCTCACTCTCCAGCCGCTGCCGAAACGCCTCCTGCCACGACAACGGTGCCGCAGTGACTGATGGCGACTGCTGCTGGTCTGGATGCAACGGACGAGCTGAAAAGAAACGAGAAGGAAAGGGAGTACAATAATTAAAACGAGGAGCACGAATAAGCCGTGGATGGGAAGGTCAAAACAAGCGGCTCTGCATCGTGTTGGTGACTTTCGTGTTACACACACTACCTGCATTTCACCACTGCTACTCACCGGCACATTCCTTCCCACATGTAAATCCACCCTGGTTGAGCCTGCTTACGTCTGTGCAACTTGGTGCCACCTTTCCACTTGTGCAGTCTCTTGCCCACTCTCCCTCTCTCACCTGAGGTATCTCCACCGCTGCTGTCATCTCCCTGTGCTAGATCGGCTCCCTCATGCACTTGCTCATCCGTCCTCTGCTGCTCCACTGCGCTTCTGCTGCTAGTAACCGTCCTGCTCTCTTTCTGCTCCTGCTCCGGTTTCTGCTGCTCCTGCTCCTGCTGCTCCTGCTCTTGCTCCAGCTGTTGCTCTTGCTGTTGCTGCCGCCGCTGCTGCATAATAGCTTGAGTGGCAGAGTGCCCCCATCGCAGCAGAAACAGTTGCTTCCAAAGGCAATCACTGCGCGCCACTGCCTGCCACGCGGAGCACGTGAGCAGCACGGCGGCCAGGTCTTCAAACGCCAGCCGAGCAAACACCGACTCCAAGATCCCTTCAGGCACACTCTCCCACTCCGCCGCCCCCACGCCGTCCACTTCGCCTTGCCCCTCCGCCTTCCCTTCCCCATGCCGCTCCGCTGCGCCCTGGCGCTCTTTCTCTGCGTCATCCGCGCCTCCCTCGTCCGCCTGCTCCTGCAGCTGGGGCATCAGCGCTACCGCCTGCTGCCTGCCGCCTACTGCTGTCAGCCGATCAGCACTCTCTAGAACCGCTACCCCTCCTTCCGCCAACATTCCTGGCGACACCGGCGATAACAATCCAGGCAATACCTGCGACACAGACTTGACGCTCGAAGCGGCAGAGGTCAGCGCACACAACCCTCCTCCCCGCGCGTCCACTTCTTCCGCCGCACCTGCTTTCCTCCCTGCGGCGGACACCTCGTCGCAGCCCGTGAGCGCTGCATCTGGAGTGCCAGCCACGACCGTGGTACCGTACGCGGACAGCGACGAGAGAATGCATGCGCACGGTCGCGGACGGCTGCTTGCGCCGGCGGAAGGGGGAGGAGAGGCGGCGGAACATGTGAGGTCTCTACTGTCCGCCTCTAAAGACATCGGTCTGCGCGCTGCGACGGCTGCTTCTGCGTGCGGGATTCCTTGCCTCGACGACTCTGCGTCGACAGGAGATGCGACGCCGTGCGCAGCGGCAACCGGTAACTCGGCGCGAGCCCTAATCTGCGGGTCTAGGGTTGGCCAAGTTGACCGGTCCGCGCACGGCGAGCCTGCTAATACCGTCGCTCCTTCTAATCCATCAACTACAGTTCCCGTGACAGGACCTTCAGCCCTTTCAGGTGCCGCAAACCCCGCATCTCCCGATACGCTTGCGGAATCTGCTGCATCCGCTCTCCTCCCGCGCGCGGAGCTCTCGATGGAAGAAGCCGATCGGTACGAATCGCGCGGTACGGGCCGAGGAGCGAAATCCGGGCAGGATGAGCCGGACATGAGCTCTTCGCGTAGGTAGCGGTTGACCGCCCAGTGGACCTTACCGCGCACGGCGCGCAGGTGGTTCAGGAGACGGGATGTGGACGCAAAGGGGCCGAGCAAGGAGCGCATTTGACGGAGCAGCTCCGCCTCGCCGACGACACGGTCCACGGGCGCTGCGAAGCGTGAGGTGCGCGCTGCTGGCATGATGAAGGGCTCGTTAAAGAGTGGCGGAGGAAGCGGCGATGCTAACTCAGCAGGCGGCAACGGCAACGGTGACAGGGGTGCAGAGCTTGACGACGGATGCTCCTGAGACGCCATTAGGTTTCTTGTCAGAGATTACTTTTACGTCCAGACCAGACCTAATCCACAAGCTCAGAACTAAACAAGCTGTGCTAAGCTATAGAACTTCGGTGAAGGGAGATGGCCGATTTTAGATGGAATGGCTGTGGTGATCATTCCAAAAAATACACATCAGCAGCAAGAAGAGCAGAGCTGCAGCAGTGGTGAGAGGAAGGAGGGATATGAGGTGATGTGGATGGGGAGGCATGACATCACGGGTAGAGGCATCGTCGAGCGATGTGCGACGACAGTGGGGTCGCACGGGCAAAACATCCCGCGTCTGTGTGAAAAGCGGCAACCTCCGGAACAATAAATAGTAAACACAAACAGTAACACAAACTCGCATCGCAACTTATCGCAGCGGCTGATATTGACGGAGCATCTCCACGACTGGTGAAGGTTGAAAGTATCAACCACACGTTCTTTACGCCACAGAGCCACCCCCCCTTGGTTCAGGTTCAGGTTTGGTTAAGGTGGAGGTTGGTAAAGGTGTTGGTGAATGTCCCTAAAAAATTTTTGGTTGGTATAGGTAGGCTCTGTGGCACTTGCACCATTGCAGCACTGTCCATTTCTGCATGCTTGGTTTACTGCTCATTACTAACCTAGTTCCTTTGATATCCTTGCAGGTTCTATTCAAGCCACGCTCCAGATGGTGTCAGAGGAGCACCTCACGGCTAAGCTCCAACTTTCAAACTTTGCAAGATAAGTTTCAATCTTGAGCCTTTTCCGTGCTTTCTCGCTCGAATGCTATTCCACTGGTAACTCCACGCTTGCTGAGTCCTTTTTTTGTCGAGTTGTGCTTCAACTCTACAGTCACTGACTTGTTTCATATTGCCTCATGGCAGGTTCTCCGAGCGCCATTAACACGCCATGGACCCCCAAGACCTTGCGCACCGCTGCACTCCAGCAAGCCCAAGATCCATGGGAGCTCCATGGCATGCTGAAGCGCCTCAACGCTCAGCACCACTCCACACTCCAAGCTGCTTAACCTCAGATAAGTTTCATCCCCTACCCTCGAGCTCCTTTTCTCATGCACATGGCTTTATTGTGTTTATTGATTTGCTTTGATGCATGCTGGTTTTTTGCCTTCTCTTTTTTATTATGGACTACTGTTTATCTTTTTTCTGCCTGCAGGTGCCTTCATGGGCGGCAAGTCCCAGTGGGTGGCAAGCCATGGCCTGCTGAAGCACCGCTCCACACTCCAAGCTGCTAACCCACAGATAAGTTTCAGCCCCTACCTTTGAGCTCTCTTATTCATGCACATGGCTTTTTTTGTTTGTTGATTTGCTTTGGTGATGCTGTAGTTTTGCTTTCTGTTTTTTATCATGGACTAATCTTTATCTTCCTTCTGCCTGCAGGTGCCTTCATGGTCGGCAAGCCTGCAAGCCATGTGGCCAGTGCACGAGAGGGTGAAGCTTTGAGCATTGGCTGGGGACTCGATTCCGGGCCAAACCGGACTGGTTCTGTCCCCTCCCGCCCCCACCAAGTGACAAAACTGTCTGGCCAGCAGTGATGTCATTTGGTGGAGGTGGGGGTGGGCAGAGCCAGTCCCTAGTAGGGCACCCGCACGTCTTGGTCCTGGCAATGCTCAAGGCTCACTGCCAGTCCATGCCAGGGTGGGCATGGATGGCATGCTGCCATGGAGTAGCTGTGGACCTGTGGTTGATAGGAATAGACAGAATTTCATTGGTTGAGTGTACCTCTGAATATTAATTCATTTTTATAAGGGTACATTCCGCTGTATAATATGTCCCAATCGATGTGTTCCAATCGATTGAGGCGCGTACGTACAGCATATGCTGCCAGGTGTCGGAATGCCGTGCCGCCCGTGGTTGTCGCCGACTGTATTTATCATTGGGTGGCGTGTATCACGGAACAATCGCCAGCTAATTAAAACACACCCAACCAATCGCACGCGGCCCCAGATGTCATCTCATGCAGCATGTATCTGGACGACATTTTTGGGCCCACTCTATCCCGATCAACGCGTACACAGCCTGCCGATTGGTCGAAACGACCTTTCCAGAATTATTGACAGGGACACGCACCCCCCCGACATTGCGCCTTCCGCCAGTTCCAGTGCACCTCCCCCACAACTCCTCCGCCTCCCCATCCCTTACGAGGTCAAGTTTGTGCAACAGCTGCTAAGTACCAATCTGTGATTCTCTCACAGCCTCCGCTCCCTCTAGTTCTAGATCTAGACACCTTCTACCCACCAGCATGGCTCGTAAGCGTAAGGGGCAGGCCCTTAACGACTGCCCCAAGGATCTAAACGACATTCCGTACATCCGCTGGATGAACCAGCAGATCGCCAACGGTCGCCATCCTAGGGGATTATCCGCGCCGCCCGTGCTTGACGGCCAGGGATCCACTGCCCAGTCGCCCACAGCGGCCCCGTCACGTGTGCGCCGTCAGCCTGCAAGGACGGCAGCAACGTACCGGCCAGTCGTGGAGCAATACGATGACGATGCTGACGACGACGACCGCGAAGAAGGGGATGACTCCGATGACGAGGAGGAGGAGCCTGAAGACCAGGGAATGTCGCCCAGCGACGACGACGAAGACGACGACGACGATGAGGATGCCGAGGAGGACGCCCCGGAGGAAGCACAGCCTGTCGCTCCGCCGCCGATACGGAGCGCCGCACGCAAACAAGGGTCTGACAAGGGCAAAGGCAAGGCTGCGCAACCTGCAGCGCGCCCGGAGCCACGGAAGAAACGTGCGGCAGCACCTGTCGAGCGCGGCTTATGGTCTGACAAGGAGAGCACCATTTTCGCCGCGGCGAAATGGTTCTTGAAAGATGAGCTCGAGCCACTCAAGGGGAAGTAGGGGACGCAATACTGGGCCCGGCTGCTTGCACACATCAAGGAGTCGAACCCCGGATGGTGCAGGGGAGTCAACGCACTGCAGAAGCAGTGGCGTAACTTGATGCTCCTTTGGCGGGAGTACAAGCGTGCCGACGGGGGTTCGGGCAACGGCTCGGTGGAGAAACCACCATGGTATCCGTACATGGAGCTGCACAACCAAGACACTGCCGCAGCCTCACCGCATGCGGTGGACGGTGGAGGCGCGACCAACGTCAACGTGCCGGCCGGCATGGAGGTTCCAACTTCGTCCCAGCCAGGCACGTCAACGCCATGTTTTACGGGTGAGACATGATCCCGGTTCCATGTTGTTTGGTTCGCATGCTTGCCATACAACTTCTAGTTTCAAACTGCTGTTTAGACTATCGGCTAACATGCACGATACATCGTCATTGTGTGCACCTACCAATCTAAACTTCTATCTTCCCGTCTTCTCTTGTTTCTCAGCTCCGCCGCCGACGAACACTGCCACACCCAAGCGCGCCCGGGTGCATGAGACGGCTACCATGCAAGCGGCGATGTTGGTGTCCGCCACAATCAAGGACTGCCACGGTGATGCGATGAGAGTCGTTGAAGGCCTCGTCCGAGAATGGATGGCGCAAGACCTGCGACTTGCCCGCGAGCGCATGACTGAATCGGCTCCCCCGGATGTGCACCGTGCGCCGCCAGATTTCTCCCCTCCACCGCCACGCGGGGAGTCCGCGCCACCCCCCGAAGCCGCACAGCCGCGGGAAGATATGGGCGACGTCAACACCGTCACTCCGGCTGATGAGGATGTGGAGATATGGGTGCGCGGCGCCGCCGATTAGAGTAAGAGTCCTGGAGTGCCTCTTCCAGCCGTTTCCGCCTCTCCCTCAGTGCCTGTTGTGTTGGTGGGACACACGGTTCCCACTTGTGTGTCGCAATAGCTCCCCGCGTCCACCATGGATCGCGGTTGCGGGGAAGGTTCTCCCATGCCATGTTTTTGCGCCTTACCTCCTGCATCTCTTCACACATGTTGTGCAGGATCACACAACACGCGGCCCCAGCGAGAATGCGCCACAACCTGCAGTCGTTGCGCTGGGCGAAGATGCGCCATCTCCCTTTGAAGGCGCCGATGCACCTCTCCACCGCCATGCGTGTGGCGCTCTGACAGTAGTTGAAACATTGTGCCCAGTCGTCCATGAGGTCCTCTCCTCGAGGGGCATGCAGGGGTGTTAGGCAGTATTCTCGTAGAGGGTAGGCCGCGTCCCCGACAATTTGGTATGGGGCTATGTCCCCGTTGTGTAACCTCTCAAGTAGTGCAGACTCTTTGAAAACCCGCATGTCGTGCGCGCTACCGGGATAGCCGATCAGGTAGTCCCATATCCTGCCTCGTGCATCACACGTGAGCTGGAGTTGTACGGCATAGGCCGACTTCCTTGTCCAGTACTCCGCTCTGTGACCTTC